AACAGAAGTAGTGGTTCCGCCGCGAAACTATTACGAGTTAGAAACATTTAAAGGTAGCCTAGTTTATGGACTAAGTTATGGGTTACGGAAAACTTTAAATTCTATGAGATATGAGCGAATATACAGAAAGTAGGTAAACTAAACGAGGAATTGATTGCAATGAATTCTTATCTAATTTTATGAATTCTCAGATATATAAACTCCAAGTAAAAGCTTAGAAAGATCTCATATAAATTGATTAACTTCTTGTTCTCAGTATTTAATGCTTAGCTCTAAGGTCTCTTCTGAAGAGTTAATATTCGATTAAATAAATTTCTTTCTAATTTTCCTGAGTTTTAAATTTCTTGGTATTTATTTCTGTAATTTGTCTCTTAAATGTTTTCAATATTTACCAGTGATTTTTCAGCTATCTTACCATTTTGGCCTCATTTATACATTTGTCTGACTGAGCCATGCATTTAATTCAGATAACAATGGCCAGCAAGGGCTCTTTTGGCTGAGTTGCCCTGGGCTATAATGTGGACTCGGGACACTCAAAACTGGATTGGAGGATGGCAGGGATTGCCGTACACGGCACTTTCAGCTTGAGCTGCTGTTGATTTAATTCAAGAGGCCATGCATTTCCAATGTCGAGGGCTCACATAAAAAATGTACAGCGATTCCAGGGCTGTTATCCCCTTTTTTCCCCGTAATTGCTTGGCTTTTTCGGACGATGCAAATACGAGTGGCACTGTAACATAATTTCCGTGCAAAATACATCAAAATGGAGCATCGTGGAAATCTCCATTTTCATATATGTAGACCTAAACTATGAGTGGCCCACACACACCCACACAGGAAAACGCTCAGGCAGATATGTTGATGTGGTTAGTTAGCATCTGTGTTTATATTTGTGTTTGCATTTTGCATTTTCTGTCGGTAAGAGATGATGCTGGGGCAGGAAGGGGGCAGCGTACACATGTCCATGTCCGTCACATTTGTCGGTGCACTTGCATTGGTGTTTACCTCCGTTCTACACCGCCTTTATCCTTTTTTTTTCCCTCTGTCGATTTGGCCTGGCACATTTGTGTTTGTTCAGCTACTTTTGCGGTTTGCCGCTTTTCGCGTACATCACTCCGGTTTTGGAAAAGCGCCAAAAAAAGAGATCCGGAAAAAAGTTTAAGTGGTCGCAAGGAAGAAGGACAACGAAGCCCTGACTCCGTGTTATAATTCGAGATAGATTGTTATGTGTGAACTTGTTTCGGAGGCTACTACTAGTCTTTTTGTAATAAACTATTTTGGGATATATTTTACAAAAGGTTTTGTATCCTTTAAATTGCTATTAAATACTCTTAATGATTAAGTTTTATACATAAATAAACTTGTCCAGAACTTTATTTATAGATTGTTCACTGATCGTTTACCAACAGATCCTAGTAAAATCCTGATAATTTCGATAGTTACTTACCTTTGAATGCCTCATCGTTCGCATTTGGTTAGATAATCCAGAGAGCGTAGAAAATGCATTAGAAGCGCCAGAAAATTGAAATGCATTACCATACAAATCTATAATTTCATCCAAATTAGAGCCCATTTTTATCACCATTCAATGCGATGTTTTCGAACAGGTTTCAGTGTGTGTGTGTTTCTGTGAGGGCGGGTGTTTCTGTGTTCGTACAACGGGGCGTATGCGCAATTTGATGTGCTCGCAATTCAATTAAATTCGGCAAATTAAAGCGAACTGGCAACGCTGAAGTGAAATTTAATTGCATGGGGGACCAGCTCCCACCTTTCGCTCTCGCCTTTCCCCTGGGGAGGTCAGGGCAAAATGCAGCACGTATTTATTAGCTGACGTGCATTGATGAAGGTCGAACCAACGAGTGCGTGATCCAGCGAAGCAGGCGGTGATTGGGGGTTGTTCTGTGAGGGAAATGATGCAGGAATAAGAACAGCAGCAGGAACAGGAGCAGGAGCAGGAGCAGCAGCTCGAACTGGAGCTGGCAAGGATTCCCTTCGGCCGCTGATTGACTCACGATTATGCAATAAAACAGCAGACGACAGGCAGGACAACGCTCAAATCCCCACAGAGACAATGGCCCGCAGACCGGGCCTGCATCCGTCTCTTTCGTTCCTTCGATTTGCCATCTCTCTCGCTGGGTGTTTGTGAGGGTTTCATTGGCTTCATTTCAACAGCAGCTTTTCAAAAGCTAAAACTTTTTTATGTCCAACTCATTAAAAATGTGCGGCAATGGACTTTATGCAGGCCAGCCCAGGGATCCTTGATTCCTTTCCGACTTTGGCTCAAGCTCCCTTCTGCTACCACACAAATACACACTGAAATATACCCGAAATCGGACACATATACAAGCACTAGAAAAAAAAGGAAGCCACTCTTTAAAATATATTAAAATTAATTAAATTTTCATTGGAAATATATGTGCAACAACAACACATATAATCTTAATATTATTTTTATAGCATTTTTAAATACATATTTTAATATTATAAAAAATTATTTTTCTGTATGTAGATTTTCGGATGTTTTTCGCTTGAATTTCCCGTATTTTGCCTGAATGCTAACGGTCGACCAAGTTGAAGCCAGAAAGCCAAATGCAATTTCCAAGTTTTTAATGTGCGAAATTTCTAATTTAAGATTTACGATATTTTTATGTCGAATTACGCAGCACAGCCAGCACCAGCACCCCCCTCCGCTGCCATTGATGTTCGCTCATTTTCGTGCTCTGGTGTTTGGCTGTGAATTCCTTTGGTTCCGGAAAGTTGGCCTGGCTTTTAATGGCAGCCGACTCTTTAATTGTGGGAACAGTGCGTAATGCAGGCCGCTATATACATATATAAATATACATACCGGATGGGTATATTTTTGGGCTCTTAATTATGGGCACGACCAAAGGTCAATGGTCGCCTTTTGATGCAAATTTTATGGACTGGAACTTAATTGGCCCGGACCATTGAATAGCATACACCCACGGAAGAGAACAGGAAGAGCTGGAAAATCTGCCCCGGGCAAATAAAATGCTCTGTCCAAATTGTTTTGCGACTGACCAATTGACTAAAACCAACAAAAATGTTGTAACTGGTGCAGATTTAATGGGCATTTGTTTTTCGGCGCGGTTCGGATTGGAGTTCCCATTCGGCCAGGGACTGCAGAGGAGGGTGAAAGGGTTGGGAAACGCAGCGATTGCAGCTGCAGTTTTGTTAGTTAGGGCAATAAATTGTTGGCTTCATTCGGATGGCTGCATAGAGCAAGGGGCCAGGGGCAGGGTCACGAACCAGGGGCCAGAGAAATGTGTCAGATGCAGAGATTGTATAAAATAAATTGGTCAGCGATTGATTTGGGGGATTTGCCGAACAATTTATTACCACCGAGATAAAGGCATTTGAGTGTCAACATCAAAATGGCAACATTCCATTCCAGTCGAATGCCCCACCCAGCCAAATATTTTCCCTTTAATCCTTTTTGCGTGACCTACACTTGAATAAATATATTGTAAATCATATAAAAATCAATTCTTACATTGATTTAAAAGTGTTATTATTCTTTCTTTTTGCTGATTCATCTTTAAAATTTACATTAACTAGTATATGCAATTTGTAGAGGCTTGAAAAATATTTCCCCATTTTTAGTGACCAATTTCAATCTTAAATCATTTCGCTGAGTGATTCTTTAAGGTCACATTTTACAGCACATTAGACAGACACCCAATTCCTGTGCAATTTAAACCGCTTAAGTGAAAAGAGAAGCGTTAACACGTGCTCCATGGCCAGACTGGGACCGAGGAGGTCCTCAATCCCCAGCGGTGCCCGAAAAAAGAAACCGCAAAAACCGTATCTCAATTGCAATCACTCAAAACAACGGAAATGACGCTTAGCACAACTTCCTGTCGCTCCGGCGGACAGACAAATGAAAGTATCCACAGCTATGGGACGACGCGCAGGCAAACCTCCTCCTCCTCCCGTTCGCCTCGCACCAGAGTTGTAATTCATGTCGCTGGGGGAGTTTTCTTTTTTGGCATATTTGTCAACTCTGTTTCCACTGCACACATGATGAGGTGAGGAGGGGCAGTAGCAGTGGGAATTTAGGGCCAGCCACGCCCTCCAGCCCAGGCCCACACACATCTGACTGGCACATTCAAGTGCAATTTCTGTGTAATGCGAAACTATGTCATTTCGGCAGGGACGCGAGCCGAAAAGCAAGCCCCAAGTCACCCAGAATACAGTCAAGCTGCCGTAAATCAAACTATCATAGTAATTGGGATTTACAAATAATAAATAAACACCTATACACTCAAAGAATATATCAATTATTTATCTGTTTAATTGATTTAAATTCAAAAGTAACAAGACATTTTCACAGTAACCCCTTGATCGCATCTTTGTAAATCTTAAAAGCCAGAAATCTTCTTAGAATTATTTCAATTTATAGATAACTGACTGTATTTGGCCGCAGCCTCTGCATGCAAACATGACACGTTGGCGCACTTGTGATGGCACTCGTGTCCACCTGGCAGCCGGCTCCTGGCTCCCAGTTCCGAGCGCCTGGCAGCTGGCAACGGGCGATTGCAGCTGCAACCGGATCCGGAACCAGAATCTCTGGCGCTGAGCTGGAGCTCGAGTGCCGAAAATAGCCGGCAACAACCGGCAAGCAAAGTGGCAACGAGAGTGACAGGCTCATGGTCTGGGCGGAGGGGTAGGAGAAGTTTTAGGGGAATCCCAGGCAGCCCAGCTGACAGGCGGCATTTGATAATGTCAAGCCCCAAATCAGCAACAGACACCAACCAACTGGGGGGTGATGGTAGAAGGCGAGCTAGCCGGGTTGGACAATTGCACGTTGCGATTTCAGCCAGTTGCCACTTGGTCGAGCACACATGGGCATCTCAAGTATCTGTCTGGGCCATCGTCGAGTGCGGTTCGTTCGCACGGCGAAACTAAGCAACTATAGTTTAACTCTTGCTCATCTCGTAATTGGCGCTAAATTTGTCTACCGCTTCTTGTCTTTACAGAACAGTTTCACATTTTTGTGGGCGACCTGAGTGCTGAAATCGAGACGCAACAGTTGAAAGATGCATTCACCCCATTTGGAGAAATATCGTAAGTACAGAGTATTATAGAATTGTAATAAAATAACAAAAGTATACTGGTTAGATATTCAGATACGAGAGGTAATCTATAAATCGTTAATGATTATACAAGAAAATAGTTCAAATTTAAAATTAAATGATCAATTTCTTGAATCCCCTTTTGATATTGTATGATATGACCCTATATGGCTTACTATAAGCTCGTTCGAAAGCACCAAAACTAGGTTGTTAAGGATTCTTGTACACTTCAAAACCTAAAGCGTTACCCGCCCTTCAAGTCCCCGTTTTGGCCAGCACATTAACTCCAATCAAAGAACATTTTGCCGCACTTGTGCCGTCCGAGAAAATTGTTAAATAAACAAGCAAACAGCAAATGAAGCCCCCGCCTTTCGCTCTTCACCCCCCAGGCCTCGAGCGGCCTATCTGCGCTTAATTTATGAATAATTAGCGAGCCGAGGGTGCATGTCGAAGGAAACCGCGAAATGTTGTGCCACAGCAACAGAAATCTCTCTTTTTCTGGCTTTGCTTTTGTTTCTCCTGCTGGTTTTTCAAAAGCACGAGTGAATGGACCATAGAAACGGTGGGGGAAACGGAGGCTTCCAGGCAACGGGCAATAAATTAATAATTTAATTTTCGACTTTTTTGTTTGAGCAGCAGGAGGGGTGATGGAGAGAGCAACAACAAACTGCAATGGGGACCAGTTGAAAGCCACAAGCAGCTGTCGACGCCGGGCAAACAAATGCCAGGCGAGTGGCCCAAAAAAATATTAGAGCAGAACAAGTGAAAGCAAATAAAACTGATTTATATACATACATACATACACCCCTGTTCAGGTGGGGCTATATACATATAAATATATATATATTTATGCTGCGCCTGCTCATCAGGTCAGTAACCAAACAAGGAAAAAAAAGACGTCCTGGGAGCGTGTTTCGCAGGCTTTTCATTTGCCACTTCCTTAATTAATGAGCATCAGCAGCCTTCGTCTCCATCTTCCAGGCGGCCCCTTGCTATTTGCTCTCTTTTCTTTTGAGAAACGTTGAACTCATTTTGCCAGAAACTATTTATTCGAGTGCACACAGAGAAAAAAAAACGAAGCCCTGGCTTAGAAAACGTTTACATAATATATACTTTAAATGTTAGAGTTTAACAAGAAAGGAAGCTAACTTCGGCACACCGAAGTTTGTATACCCTTGCAGATTGGTTTTGATGTTTATATTATAAATTTAAATGCTGAAAACACTCACAAAACAGAGTTTCATTACATTTTACTTATACTTATTATGTTTACAGTTTGACAGTTACAGTTTTACATTCCCAGCTTTACATTTTCTCCACATTTACAGATCGTTTATATGACAGCTATATGATATAGTTGTCCGATTTTCATAAAAATTTTACCAAAATTCTGAAATAATAAAAGAAGCTTATTTCTAAAAGTAGATAAGAATATGTTGAAAAACAACGAAGTTATAATTTTTTTCCTATTCTTTTTCCGATCGTTCCTATGGCAGCTATAAGATATAGTCGTCCGATTTTCATAAAATTTTTACCAAAATTCTGTAATAATATAAAGTGGCTATATCTCAAAAATGATGCAAAAATATTGAAAAACAGCCAAGTTATAATTTTTTTTCTAAAAATTTATCGAACATTTGTATGGGAGCTATATGATATAGTCGTCCGATCCGGCCCGTTCCGACATATATAGCAGTGAGAGTATATAGAAGACTCTATGCAAAGTTTCATTCAGATAGCTTTAAAACTGAGGGACTAGTTTGCGTAGAAACAGACAGACGGACAGACGGACAGACGGACAGATGGACAGACGGACAGACGGACAGACGGACATGGCTAGATCGACTCGGCTGTTGATGCTGATCAAGAATATATATACTTTATAGGGTCGGAAACGTCTCCTTCACTGCGTTGCAAACTTCTGACTGAAATTATAATACCCTGCAAGGGTATAAAAATGATTAAAATGCAGTATTTCAAGGGATGATTATTTTCAATAAGGCCGTGCTTTTCAGGAACTAGAATATATGTATATTTTTTTCTCCTAATAATTTATTGTTTAATTAGTCTAAAGGCAGCATAAGTTACCTTTATTAAATTCAGTTTTTTTTTTTCTCTGCTCAGGACCAAATGTACATTTAACATTTAGACGGTTTTGGTCTTTTGAAGTGCTCCGTGGATTTTTGGGCGCGGCTTGGCCCGCGGCTCTACATCTGCAAATACTGTTATTCCGCATGTTTATTTTATGGCGAGCGCAAATCTAGGAAATAATTACATTTTTCATCTACACCTGAAGTGTTTCTTTTCTGCCTTTAGGGCTCCCGAGAAACCTAGAGCTGGCGCAGCTTCAAAGACATCCTCGCTGGCAGCTCCTTTTGCCAGGACATCCTTCGTCGCTGGCTCTTAATTTATTGCTCTTTATGCCTTGAGTGCCCGCGTGGGAAATAATCGCAAATATGTTGTCGTCGCCGGCTTTACCTACTTTTCATCATCAGGTTAACAGCCCTCATGGGTGGATTTTTCATTTAGGAAGCTAAATTTATACAACAATTTTCGCCTCCCGCCCCGGCCAAGCCCGCCCACTTGGTTTTAATTAACTGACTCAACTTTGCCACTGCGGCGAACAGCAGAAAGTTTGCCAAGTGTAATATGTGTGGAGAATTCCCTATAACTCAAAGTTTTTGTGGTTTTCCTTTTAGGGACCGGCAGGCAGGCAGACCGACAGACAGACAGAACTCATTATGAAAGTCGATGGATGGAAATTATTGAAAGGGCGGCAACAAAAGAAATTTAATCCTGCAATTAATTGCTCGCCTTTGGCAACCTTCTTCTGCCCACGGAAATCATTAACGCAATCATAACCGTAATCATACTCATAATCCCTTCAAAATAATTAAGTCCCTTTGAGTTTCCAAATCAATCAACACCTTGTGCTTAATCAAAAACACCGAGCACACTTGTCCACTTTCGCAGTAGCCGATACCCTCCGGACTCCAGATGCTGTATATAAACATATATAAAGCTTCCTTATCGCGGCAGTTTAATGGACTGGCACACACCAAAAATCCGATTAGACGTTATCATGAGGCATTCTTAGAACGGCCATAAAACACAACGCCCCGTGGCTAGTGTGCTTATTTTAATGCAGCTAATTAATTATTCGGCCGGTCAAAAGGATCAACATAAAATCCACTCCATACACGGAGAGAAAACGATGTTGGTTGGTATTTCTGAAATGTATGAAGGAAAGTTTGTCTTGAAAGTCTATTTCTTATTAATTTTACCAAGGAGAAATCCATTCGATATTTCTCCCTGTGCTTTCCTTGCTGCCCAATTAGGGCTACTCCCAGAAACCAATCGACTGCAGCAACAGAAGCAGCAGTGTTAAGATAATGACGGGCACTTCAAGCCGTTCGAGGAATATGGGTTATAATACCGAAATTCAATTATCCGCCTGCGGTGGGCGGTACGAATTGCCTCTGCTTATCGATGCAGTCGCCGCATCGGAAAACCAAAGCCATAACCATAACCAGATAGCATTGCTCCTGATTAATTACATGCAATATGTTCTGGCCCCGACTCAAGACTCGTTTCAGGAGGCGTTTTCATAAATAAAACCAGAGGCAGCGGAGGAAGAGGAGGAGGGCCAGAGACAAACAAAGCCGGCCGGCACAATGGGCAAATTGATTAGCGAGAGGGACATGGACACGTCCTGCCCATTGCCCAGTGCCCCGTGCCCTTTTCCTCCAACTCCAATTGCCAGGATTGTAGTTTGCCTGATTAGTTTGCCCGATATTGTGGCTGCCTCTCATAATTCAATTACATTTTTGTGCTGCATGGCTAACGAGCCCTCGGCCTGTAATTGGCAGTCCTTCGTGCTGCCTCTGCGGCCTTTCATTGTTGGCCACAAAAGGCTTAACTCTTGGCCTTTGTGCCCAAGTTTGACCGGTTCAAATTTCAAATTTCCAAAGAAATGGTACACTGCTAGACAACATTAATTATTTCAATTGAGAAACTAGTTCTTTTAAGGTTATAAGTATGGCCTCTGAAAATCCTTAAAAAACAACCTAAGATAATTCCTTTAATAGATCAACTTCTAGTGGTATTTTTTTCTCTGTGTACCCATAGAAAAACTTGTGCCTGTCTCACGTGTAAGGGTTTTGAAAAGGTAACTGGAAAAAAAAGCAAATCAACAAGATAATAGTTGATAGTTGCGACTCGAAATGGGAATGGAAATAAACTCGCTCGCTATCTCGTTTGCTTTTTTCGGTTACTTTTAATGACACTTGGGAAAGTTTTGATTTTGGTTTGCTGTCTACCATCTCCAGACTCCGGCACCTTGCCCCCGCGCCGACATCATTACGTTGATTTTTCCCCTTTTTTCTCGTAGGGTATATAATTTTGTCGCCGGTCTTAGCGACAGCCCTCGATTGGGGCGATGCTGAAAATGAGCAAAACTTTCAACTTAATCTATTCAGAAAGTTGGCTCAGCCCGAGACCCCAGCCTCGGCCCGGCCCCTTTTCATAAACTTCAAAATGCGCTTGTGCACGTCGTCGAGTTGCGTCCGCTCCCTTCTGCAGTTTTGCAGTTCTTTGAAGTGCCGAATGGGGGTAGTGGGTGGGGGTAAGCGGAAACGGAAACCAATGATCGGCGACAAGTGGGCGGCGGAAATGGCGGAAAAAGTTGAGCGGCCGCGCCATCTAACTCCGGGTTTTAAGTAGGCGGCGGCTTTTGTTGCGAGGCGGCGAGTGACAAATCAAAATCGCATTCAAATGCGACGCGGCATGCAGCGGAAGTTAATGCGAAAAACTTTTGCCCCAAAACGCGCACAATCAGTCAAGCATCTCCTTGGCACTCAGTACCCCCCAGACCCTTTACCCTGGATTCTCGCCCGATTTTCTCCCGAATTTCCTCACGAATCCCGCCCGATTTTCCGCATTTGCCAATCCTTTGCTCTGTTTGTGCGTAGTGTGAAAAATGAGTCTTGGCAG